ACGCATCACTCAAATCAAGAAATATTTTACCATTCAACTATTTACTTCGTGTAGAATCAGTACTGAAAGTATTGTCGAAGGGTTCATGTGCACTTTAAACAAAAAAGAGTTGCTCTTTCAAGCGTGACTTTTACTCTGGTCGCGTGATTCAAAACAAATTTCACCAATCATAGTAATCACGTTTCTCACATTTCCACGGGATTTAATTGTAGTGGTTGCCCGTGTAAAAAAAAACAAAAAATTGAGTTATGTAAATCGTAAGACCGACAAGAGTTTTTCTGTGCCCGTTTGTCGAAAAGCTCGATTAGCGCTAATCTAGGATTAGAGTGCACGCACTAAAACCGTGAACATAAAATAATACTATTTAGTACTATTTCATACAGAATCCTTTGTTTTCTATTGTTTAATTATCACTATTTAGTGCTAAAAATTAGTATTTGCTTCACGGATTTAGTGTGAGCACTCTATATAGCCTAACCGAAGTTTAATCTTGGAATAAATTCCGTTGTTTAAAGCACAATTGGAGTTAATCTAGGATCAAATCGTGGATTAAATTAAGACACCTAACGAGGTGGTTTAAGTCGCTGGTCCAGGATTAAAATAGACAAAATTTAATTATTTTTTTTTTGTTCATTTTTTTTGCATGATAACCGTAGATATACGATTAAAAACTCTTCCATCGAGGAATACACTGACAGCGAACTTGTGTGCAATACACCTGAGATTGTTTTTCAAAAAAAGAAGCCATTATTTACACGAAAAATCTGATTTACGAGTATCTAGCGCGAAAGATAAGACGAAATCATTCTAATGATAATAATAAGCTTTATTTATCAACCTTAAATAATATATACGGTGGATTTACATGGTTAAAAACAATCTCGTACCCAGAGCCCACGTTCCTCCTGGTCAGCACCGAGAAACGAGAGGCTCTTGTTGTAACCGATTTTTTGAGCATTTTTATTGGTCCGGGGAAAAACAAGTCGTTTCGGAAATAAAATGGCAGACTCGGAAATATCAGGAAATAAGTGGATTTTTCAAGCACTAAATTGGCTTGAATCGAACTCAAAATTTGCTAGAATGTGGTACAATCAATTATTCGCATACACGAAGTAGATGAGAAGGAGACTGGAATTTAAGCAACTTTTCAAGAGGATTAGTTCGACTCGAGTTGGCGGCCGCTCGCTCTTGCATTTGTCGTGATGATTTGAACTCAAAAAAACGTGTTAAAAACTCACAAAATAGCACAAGCAATTAGTACCCGGGGGAAAAATTTACTAAATAAACTTTAAGAAGGCAAAGGATAAATAATTTAACTACTATACTTAAGCTAAAAAGTTCAAAAATTGATTCCCAAAGGCAACTCAAACATCAGCTTACCTGTGATTAAGGCATGCGCAGTTGAATCTTCCGGTCCGATATTCAAGGACCGGAAGCCAACTGAAAATTCGGTTACAAGCAGAGCCTCTCGTTTCTCGGTGCTGACCATGAGGAACGTGGGCTCTGGGTACGAGATTGGGTTAAAAATTATTGATATATGTAATATCTATACCTAAAAAATATTTACTTATGAGCCTGGTGGCCCTAGGTATGAACGAGTTCATATCTCTATTTGTTCTTGATGTTGGAATCCTAATTGCAGACTGAACATTAGATCTGAGGTTGTGTTTTATTTACATTTGTGTTTATGAATATCTGATTTGGGTGATTGGCGGTATTTATTATTCTCACTGCCTACATAAACTTAAATTTGCTGTTTTCGCCGATGATTCGAAACTTTACCGAGACATAGGATGTCAGCAATCTCTCCAAGACGACATCGATTGTGTTCACCGCTGGAGTGTTGATTCCAAAATGACATTCAACACATCCAAATGTGAAGTCCTGCACATATCAAAGAAAAGATCTGAAGTCGACACCAACCAGTACCACCTTGGTAACTAGGACCCCCAGCAAGCTAGCCACATCGAAGACCTTGGAGTCACTGTCGCAAGTGACATGACGTCGGGCAAACACATCGAAGACATGTGTGCCAAGGCCAATAAGACACTCGGCCTCGTAAAAAGAATCTGCGGAAGAGACATCACTGATGTAAGAACAAGAAAACTTCTATTTTGCTCGTTGGTGAGGCCCAAGCTAGAGTACGCCTCCATACACTGCAAAACATCGCAGGCTGATCGAGAATGTACAACGTAGAGCTACCAAGTTCATTTTGAACTATCCTGAGGACAAGACATACAATTATMTACATATATACACATATATACATATATACGTTTTTTGAATTGACTGTACACAAGAGAATATGAAGAAACTTTCATGGTTACAGACCCATGTATGGGAGATGTGCTCTCTTACTTAATATTCTCTTGCTGTACAGTAATGTATTTTGGAATTCCTCTCCAGACAGGCGATGCATACTCCAAAAGTGGACGTATTTTAGTGCATTTGATTGTAATGCCAACTCCTGTTGGCATTCTCCTGTTGGCATTCCTGCTTTTATTTATTTGCATTCATATTTTAACAGGAAGCTTCTTCACTTATAAATGTGATTTTCGAGAAGGTCCTGATAAATATGATATTTTTACAATAACATGTAAAAAGAGAATTTGGAGGTTGAATATCGAAACCAGCTCGTTACTAAAAGTCAACTTCATTATTATGTAAAAATGTAAAAGATGAAAAGTTCAAATTATTTAGGTTTACAAGTTTAAAATAAATTCAATTTAAAATGGCTAATCTTAGAACATTGTTTAAGTGTGTCACTCAAATTGCTCCATTCTTTCATGGCTTGATACTGCATTGTTTGTTTTCCCCAGTTAGTTTTGGGTCGTGGTAAGCGAAACTCGCTTCCATGCCTCGTGTTATAGCCATGCTCATTGAGCTTATTCAGCTTTGGATTTGATGATAATTGCTTACTATCAATCACGTGACTTTTTGGAGTTGACTGGGGGCAAACAAGCAGTTGACTGAGGAGCAACTAGCGGATGCTAAGTCAAAACATATCAAAATAAGTCCTCAAACTATTGTATTTGACTATTTTCACGACATCAAACCAGAAAACAAGAGATCAAAACAACCTCCAGGATTCTACGAGCCATCAAAAAGAGCTATTACCGGAAGTGACGTCTATTGATTGCAACATATAATCTGTTTTAACATTTGAACATATTTTACATACATTCTTTCCGAGCATCAGATGCTGAGGAGTGTGGAGGACGATCCAGGATGATCTTGGCCGCTTTGTTGTGCAGGGTTTGAAGAGATTCCATAAGCGTGATATTATCTTTATCTCCCCAAACAATATCACYATAATCAAAAAGCGGTAGGACCAAGCTGTTGAARTACAAKAGTCTAGCGAATTTAGGCAAAAGATGTTTGATTCGCTTCAGGAGACCAAGGCGTTTGTTGATTTTGGTCATCTGTTTTTCAACATGAGCAGACCAAGATATATTGCTGGAAAAGACCACCCCAAGGTACTTGAATTCTTGAACTCTCTCGATGTCTTTGAGTAGAACCTGTATGGAGATGGTGGAGATGTTGGTCTTTCTCAGTCTTGCTTCCAAACAGCATGGCTTTAATTTTGGTTGCATTCAGGGTCAAATGATTAATCTTAAACCAATCACCAACCAGCTTGAGATCTTCATTGAGCTTATCTTCTATGTCAGGAACTGAGGAGGAGAAATAGTAAAAGACTGGATACTTGAGAATGGCGGACAACATCCGGAAGATCGTTGACGTAGATGATGAACAGTAGAGGCCCAAGGATACTTCCTGAGGTACACCAATGTTGCATGGTAATGGCTGTGATACTTCTAAGTCACAAGTAGTGCGTAAGTATCTTGATGACAAGTAAGAGTCAAACCATTTGAGATCGTTGTCACGAACACCAGCTGAAGATAGYTTATTCATTAGAATCGTGTGGTTTACTGTGTCAAAGGCTTTTGACAGATCCGAGAAGACAGCTCCACATAGTTTACCGTTATCCATGTTACGTAGAATGTCATCTGCAAGGCTGGCTAATGCAGTTGAGAAAGTAGATTGTTTGCACTCAGGTGTTTGTAGAGTTGCAGGTGGACAGCTCTTTCAAGGATTTTACTCAAAGTCAAAAGAATAGAGA